GATGTTCGCCCTCTCCGCCTCCACCGTCAAGGTCTCCGCCGTCGCGGGCCTCTCCGCGCGCGCGGCGACGCGCTCTGCGCGCCGCGGCGTCTCTCTTCGCGTCCGCGCGGAGGGCGAGACGACGACGACGACGACGACCGAGGAGGCCGCGCCCGTCGAGGCGTCCACCGAGGAGGTGGCCGCGCCCGCGGCGTTCAAGGCGGCGATCGACCCCGCGGACGGCTCCATCGCGGAGGCTGCGCCGCTCGGCGACGACATGTCCATGTTCACGGACGCCATGGTCGCGTTCAAGGAGCCGCGCGCGATCGAGATCATCAACGGCCGCGCCGCGATGATCGGCTGGATGGTCGCGCTCTCGAACGAGATCACGAACGACCAGTCTCTGTTCCGCCAGGTCATCAACACGCGCACGTTCACGCTCGCGGACGGCGTCGTGAAGTCCTCCACGTTCCCGGCCACGGGCGCGTTCCTCGTCCCGGTCGTCGTCCTCGCGACGCTCGCGGCGTCGCTCGCGCCGGTTCTCCGCGGGAACGAGGAGTCCGGCCTCGAGAAGGCGCCGAAGGACTTCTTCATGTTCAAGGCGGAGTCGGAGATGACGAACGGCCGCGGCGCGATGATCGGCCTCGTCGCGCTCCTCTTCGCGGAGAAGTTCACCAACGGCGCCGCGCTCTTCTAAGTGCTCGGAGCTACCGAAGTAGTACTTCTGAGACTACGCGAGAGACGGGATTTTTTTGAACGACGACGGCGGGGGGGACCCGCGGATAGGACGCACGCACTTAGGACCTTAGACGATTTGTTTTAGAGCACGCACGCCGCGCGGCGTTTGTATTAACAACGAGAGGTTGCACTCACTCGAGAACGTATTAAATGTCGTCGATCGCCACCTGCTGCCGTTCTTTCCGCGGCTCCGGCGCGGCTTTCGCGCCCCCGCCCCCCCCGTCCCCCCCGCCGCTACTCACGACGCCGTCCACGAACGATATGATCTCCTCGTCCGTGATGTCGTCCAGAATGCTCCTGAGCGTGTGCTTGTACACGGTCTGAAAGTTTGGCGTGTCCTTATCGCTCCGTATCCGCAGATACTTCCACGCGCCTTGGTTTTTGTTCCCGGTTTTATCCCACGTGCACTCCACGATCTTCCCGTCGAGATCCCTCAACTCCGGACGCGTCCCGTCCGCCGCGCGCCCGTCGTCGTCCAACCCGAGCTCGAACGCCGCGCTCGGCTCCGCGATCGGCCCGACCTCGATCCCGCGGTCGCCGCCGACGAACAGCTCTGGACCGCCGTGCACGTTGACCCGCAGCCGGAAATCCACGCTGTTCAGATGCGTAAACTTCCACTTGAGCAACCCGTCCAGCGTCCCGACGACGTACTTCTCTCGCGACGGTTGGAAGATCAGACCGTCGCACTCGTGGCACAGCTTCGGGATGAAATCGCGGACGAACTTCTCCGTGCCGGCCAGCGGCGAGAAGTCTTTCGCGCGCGTGGAGAACGGCTCTTTACTGAAGTCGTACGCGCCGCTCTTACCCGCCTCGAGAAGGAAGACGTTTCGCGGCTTGACGACGTACTCGCCGATGAACCCCAACCGCTCCGCGAACGGTCGGTCGACCAACCGCTCGCCCATGAGCGCCATCATGTCATACGCCAAGAAGCGTCGTCGCTGCTTCCGGGGCGTCGCGTTCGCGTTCGCGTCCGCGTCGTGACCATTCGCGTGACCATTCGCGTTCGCGTGACTGTTCGCGTTCACGTCGTCGATCACCATCTCGCCGTCGAGCAACGTCGCGTGATGCGTCGCCACCCCGAACCGTCTCAGCGGCGCTGGAAACCGCATCGAGACTCTCCGAACGTCAAACTTGCGATCGATCAAGTACGTCCCGTCCTTCATGAGCAACAGCATGTACCGCGTCCCGTCCGCTTTCCACGTCACGTGGTACTCCCGCCGCTTGATGATCTGCATGTTATCCCGCGCGAGCGACACCGGCTGCGACCCGGGGAAGACGGTCGCGTTCGGGTTAGCGCCGCAGAGGTACGCGACGACGCGTTTGATCTCGTCCGCCTGGTCTTCGTGCACGGGGGTCCCGAGGACGTCGTCGTGGTGCATGGGGGTGCCGTCCAGGTTGCCGTCGGCGGTGGTGCGGAGCATATTTTCGCTCCACCCGCCGGCCGCTCCTTCCCCGCCGCCGTTTCCGCCGCCGCGGGTGCCTGGTCGGTCGATGATGGACTCGGCGCGCGTGCGGACGTATTCGTCGTTATCGTCGCCGAAGAGGTCGCCCGGCGGGACGTCCGCGTCCTCCAGCGGCGGCGCGTCGATTGACGTTCCGTCTTCTCCTCCTCCTCCCGCCGCCGCCAACCATCCGCGCCGCTTCCACTCCGGGAGCGGCGGGTCCTTGGTCGTGCTGAACCGCCGCTCGAGGTACTCCGCGAAGAGGAGCTTGAGGTACTCGGGCTTGTAGATGCCGGGGGGGCGGTGCCGCGCGAACTCCGCGACGTGTTCGTTGAGCTTCGGCCACTTCCGCGCGCGTTGCATGTAGTGCACGAGCATCGCGCCGGTCCGGTTGAACCCGTGCGTGCAATGGACGAGGATGACGCCGGCGGCGTTGGGCTTTGGCGCCGCGGCGGCGTTCGGGTTCGCGTCTTTCGCGTCTTTCGCGGCGGCGGCGGCGGCTTGGTTCGCGATGAACTTTTGCACGAGGTGGACGAAGTGCGACACCGCGACGGGATCCGGCGGCTCGTCCTTCCCCACGCACGGAACCTTGACGTGCGCCGCGCCGTGAATCTCAAAGTCCACCGGGTCGTAATACCGCGAGCTGTTCGTCAGGTCCACGACGAGCTTCACCGGTCGTCCCGACGCCGCCGCGCTCGCGGCCGCGAGCGCGTCGGACGGAAGGTACCGACGATCCGGCGGGACGCGCCCGCCGTCGTGCCATCGCCGCGACAGCGGCGTCTTCGACGGGACGAAGACGTCGCAGGTCAGCGTGCCGCACGGCGGCGCGCCGATCCAGCCGTGCGGGGGCGCCCACGGGTCGTGCCCCGGGATGAGCGCGGCGGTGTCGACCGCGACGGGCGCGCGCGGATGTTGGGATCCGCCGCTTGAGGCGTCCGGCGCGGCGGCGTCGCCGCCGCCCGGCGTGGCGTACTTTCCGATCCCTCTCGCGCGCATCTGCTCGATCCGCAGGCGCTTCTGCTCCGCGAGGGTCTCCATCGCGGCCGCCGCCCGCGGTCGTTCGTTCGCGCGCGGTCGACGACGGACGGACGCGCGTTGTCGCGCTCGAGTCGCCGCGGCCGCCGGCGAGCGCGGGGTCGTTGTGGCGTCTCCTTCGTTCATCGAACGCATCGATCGTTTTAGGTCGGGCGATCTGATGCGATCGGTCGTTGTTACGCCGGCCGCGCCAAACCTCCGCGCGCGCGTCGCGTCATGGGACGCTTCGAGTGGACGCTCGACCCCGCGTTCCGCGCGTCGAACGCCGCCGCCGCCGCCGCGTCCGACGCCTCCGCCTCTTCCGCGCCCCCTCAACCCCAACCCCGCGCGCGATGGCGGCTCGGCGCGCTCGCGACGTCCGGGACGTGGGACGCCACCGCGCCGTCCGTCTTCGAGACGCCGATGCTCCTCTCGCGCACGCGCCGCGGCGAACATCCGCACCTCATGCCGGACATCATGGACCTCCTCCCCGCGGAGGCGCGCGCGTTCCAGGTGTCCCTCGGGCACTTCCTCGATCGCCTCGGGCCGGACCACGTGGGGAATCATCCGAACGGCGGGCGCGCGTATTTCGGCGTTCGACCGACGTGCGTCGTGCTGTCGCCGCGCGATCCCATCGCGTTCGAGACGAACGCGCGGAACGCCAACGACGACGGCGTCTTCGTCGCCGGGCCGGACGGGACGAAGCCGCTCACGGTGGCGGAGTACGCGCGGTGGATCAAAGCGCTGCAGGTGGACGCGTACGTGTCGCTGCCGGACGAGCGGCCGTGCGTGGAGGTGGAGGAGGTGGATGACGACGCCGACGCCGACGCAGCGGCGGCGGCGGCGGCGGCGGAGACGGCGAGGAAGAAAGTCGTCACCGCGGTGAAACGCACCGAGCGGTGGCTCGAGGCGTGCCTCGGCGCGGACGTCGGCGGCGCCGCGTGCTTGGCGTCCGTGCAGGGCGGGTCGGATCTCGCGCTGCGAGCGGAAGCCGCGAGGAACGCGGCGGCGCGCGGCGACGCCGTCGCCGGGTTTTCCATCGGCGGACTCGGGTGCGTTCTATACACTGGTTCCCATACGACCCCGTTCGCGTGGTGAACGCCGATCCTTAAGGACGTTTGCCGTCGTCTCTCTCCGCCCGCCTCTCGCTTTCAATCCCCGCCCTCGGCGCCTTTCAACATCAACTGACGCCTTTGAACTCCACCCCGACATCGCTTCGTACGGAACGACCCTCAGCGCGGGCGAGTCCCCGGGGCCGACGCGAGACGCGCTGATCGCCGCGGTGATATCGCAACTCCCCGAGGATAAACCGCGGCACGTCACCGGCGTGTCCACGCCCCTGGACGTCATACGCCTCGTCGAGCTCGGCGTGGATATCATGGACGGCGCGTTCGCGCATCAGTGCACGGAGAACGGGTACGGGTTGTGTTTCCCTTTGGCGCCCAAACGCGCCGACGGCGAGAAGGAGTTCGAGCCGATGCACGCCATGAACGAGCACCCGGACGCGACGCGGCACTCGCATCAGAGCGAGTTCGTGGAGGAGACGGATAAAGACCGCGCGATCCAGGGCGGCGACGCGTGGAAGATTAACTTGCTGTCGCTCGCGTTTAAGGTGCGTTCTATACACTGGTCCCCATACGACCCCGTTCGCGTGGTGAACGCCGATCCTTAAGGACTTTTGCCGGCGCATCTCTCCGGCCACCCCTCGGTTTCAATCCCCACCCGCGTTGCCTTTCAACTCCAACTGACGCCTTTCAACTCCACCCCGACTTCGCTTTGTATGGAACGACCCTAAGCTGGACGCGCGGCCGATTCTCCCCGGGTGCGACTGCTTCACGTGCGCCAACCACCACAGGGCGTACATACATCACCTGCTGCAATGCCACGAGATGACCGCGCAGATACTCATCGACGCGCACAACGCGCATCAGTACTGCAGGTTTTTCCGCGCGATGCGACGGGCGATGCGGGAGGGGACGTTCGAGGCGTTCGCGGCGTTTTACCGGGACCGCGCGAGACGCGTCGCCGGCGGCGGATGACCGTTTTTGCTCACGCGGCGAGCGGCGAGGCGTCGTCAATTAATCAGTCGCCGGGGGCGGGTACCGTAGTATTTTGTAGACGCGTACGTATCATAGAACAAGCGAATAAACGATGAACGCGTCGTTCACGTATTCATTCGCGTCGTATCGATACAGTAGTCTATCGTATCGGTAGACTAAGACGACGTCCCAGCCGCGCGTCGCGCTTTTCTCTCCAATCAGTCGCTCATCACTGCCCCGAACCCGGGGCGACCCTCTGCTTGATGTACTCCCTCAACCTCTCGTCCGCGACCGCGCTGTTCTTCATCCCGAGCGTGAGCTCTTCCCCCGCGGGCGACGACGCGAGCGCCACCTCGAACGCGGCCTCGTCGATCCCCTCCGGAACGTCCGGGCACCCGGCGTCGTGGAAGTTGTGCGCGACCCACGCGCTCTTAGGGTCGTTCCATACGAGCGAATGTCGGGGTGGAGTTGAAAGGCGTCAGTTGGCGTTGAAAGGCGTCGCGGGCGGGGATTGAAAGCGAGGAGTGGGCAGAGAGATGCGTCGGGAAGTAAAGTCCTTAAGGATCGGCGTTCACCACGCGAAAGCGGTCGTACGGGAACCAGTGTATAGTACGCACCTTATCCGCGCTCGGCTTTTCGTTCAACGCCGCGATGACGCGCTCGTTCAAGAGCAAAAAGTCGCACCCCGCGAGCGCGATCGCTTCCTCTCGGTTCCTCACGCTCGCGGCGATGATCTTCGTCTTCCCCTTGTGGCACCGCACGAGCGCGTCGATCTGCCGCGTGAGCTCGACGCCGACGAGCGAAGGGTCCACGCCCTCGCCGAGGCAATTCGCCTTAGTCTCCGCCGCTCGGCTCGCGTACCACGTGTTCGTTCGTCCGACGTACGTCTGCAGCAGCGCCGCGTTCGCGCGTATCGCCAGCGCGGCCTGCTCTAAGCAGTACACGTGCGTGACGTGGCAGTGGATCCCTTCTTCTTCCAAGCGCCGCACCGCCTCGATGCCCTTCCACGTCGCCGGGACTTTGAACAAAATCTTGTCCGAGACGGCGATCGCGAGCTCCTGGAACATCGCCTTCATCCGCTTCGCGCGCGCGACAATCTCCTCCACCGTCTTCGCGCTGTGGACGTCCACCTCCACGGACACCTTCCCCTCGACCCTGTCCGCGAACAGCGACGCGAGGTTCACGAACGTCTTGTCCACGACGCAGTCGAGCCGATCCGCCTCCGTGCCGCAGTTTTCAACTGATGAGGGTCGAGGGTCCGTACAGAGCAACGTCGGGGTGGAGTTGAAAGGCGTCAGTTGAAGTTGAAAGGCGTCGAGGGCGGGGATTGAACGCGAGGGATGAGAGGAGAGATGCGCCGGGAAGTAAAGTCCTTAAGGAACGGCGTGCACCGCGCGAAGGTCGTAGGGGACCGGCGTGAGCAGACTATGAACGCGCCCGAGCACGGCTCGTACACCATCGCGCCCTCGAGCGCGCCGACGTCGCCCGTGGCGTTCTCCGTGAGCACGTGCAGCACGATGGACGCGCTGACCGTCGCCGCCTGCGGGCCGAGCTGCCCGAACTCGTTCACCGCGGACTTGGTGTCGAAGACGAGGTCGGAGACGGTGCGGAGGCCCTCGAGCTCGCTCCCCGGGTGGATGTCGATGCGCGTCGGCGTCGCGACCGCGGAGGCGCGGACCGCGGGCTTCGGGACGACGGACGACGCGCGGGGGACGATCGCGAGGCGTCGTCCTCGGAGAACCGCGGCGTTCAACGAACGCGCGGGCGGCTGCGGTGGGAGGGAGGGAGGGAAGGAGGAGGAGGAGGATGAGGAGGAGGAGGAGGGAGGCGGGAGGGCGACGTCGCCTCGTACGCGCCAAAAAGCAGCATTCATCATTCCGCGAATATCTCGGACGCGATCGATCTGATCGGGGCGCGGTCGCACCTTGGCGCGGGGGCCGAGCGCGCGGAGCGACGCGGGCGCGAGCAGCGCGTTGTGCGGCGGCATTTCGAGGAGGAGACGGTCTGTTCGCCGCGTGCGTGGGGCGCGGCGTGCGTGTTTGACCCTCGCGAGCGCGACGACCGCGCGGAAAGCGATTACCACGACAAGACCGCGCCGCTGACTCGGCAGTTGCCGAGCGAATCCGCCGAATCGCGATTCGGAATCTTATTATCGGGTGCGTTCTGATCAAACGGTTTTGACCCACCCTCGGTTTCAACACGTGATCGCGTCTAGTTTCAACTGACCCTTAACTTTTTTCGCACGGCCCGTCAGTCCTGTCTCGGAGTTTTTGGTTTTCGGCGCTCTATTTTCGCGCTCTCGTCGGTCGTCGCGGGGCTCAGAGGCGAACGACGCGCGCGATCGACAGGGCTACCGACGACGCGCGCGATTCGATTCGATTCGATTCTCGCCGTTACATTATCCCTCGCTCGCTCGCTCGCCCGCCGACGAAGCCGCGTCATCGCAACGTCAATCACATCGCGCCGCCCTGCAGCTGCTCGTCGAGGAGTTCCTCCTCCGTGACGGTCTGAGGGTCGTTCCATACAAGCGAATGTCGGGGTGGAGTTCAACGGCGTCAGGTTGAGTTAAAAGGCGTCGATGGCGGGGATTGAAAGCGAGGGGTGGGCGCAGAGAATCGCCGGCGAAAGTCCTTAAGGATCGGCGTTCACCACGCCAACGCGGTCGTATGGGAACCAGTGTATAGAACGCACCTGAATCACGACGCCGTCGCCGACGGGCACGGCGCAGCACAACAGCGCGAACCCTTTCTCGACGACGTCGTCCGACAGCATCGCGCCGCCTTGGTCCACCTCCCCGGCTTTCAATCGACTCGGGCACGTCATGCACACGCCCATCTTGCAGTCGTAGGACAAGTTCTCCACGCCCGCGTCCAACGCGGCTTCGAGCACGGATTCGTACCCGTCGCACTCGACCTCGATGGACTTGCCCTCGTGCTCGAGGATGACGATCGTCGCGCGCGTGAGGACGGGCGCGTTTCGGCGCGGGGCGGCGCCGAGGGGGCTAGACGCTTTCGCGAGGATGGCGCGCGCCTGCGGGGGGACGACGTCGACGGACGGACGGAAGGACGGACGGCGTCAGATGGGGTCGGCGCGCGCGCGGAGCGATCGATCGGCGACGAGATTTGAGATTCGACGCGCGCGGGCGGCGGCGGCGGCGGTGGCGGCGGCGGGGGGGGGGAAGAATCGCGACGACGCGCCTGCTTCGTGAGGCGGCGGCTGGAGAGCGTCACGCCGCGGGAACCGACGCGCGCGGCCATGGTGCTCGCTGGCGCTCGTTCGGGGTGCTCGCGGTTGTGACGTCGTCGTCGAAACCCTCCTCCGCCTCCTTATCTGTGACAAGTGGCAATGAGTGCGTTCACACAAACAAAAATTCACCCACCCCATAGTTTCAACATTTGATCGCGTCTCCTTTCAACTGACCGATCGCCCGCAGACTGTGGACTCACGTGTACAACTTCCGGGAGCCGAGCGAACGCACCGGAAAATAACGCCGACGTACGTCGTGGTGCGCGCGTCACTCGCGACCGCACGTCGCCGCCGCTCGCCATGCCGTCGCAGACGCCGCTGCTCGATTGCCTCGAGGAATGGGCGCCGTTCGGGAACTTTATCCATTTCAAGGTGTTCCCGCACGGCGTTCTGCCGTCGACGGCGTGCACGAAGGTGTTCGTCAGCAAAGCGTTGGTGCGCGGCGGCCCGCACGCTTTTTTCGCTCTTTAGATTCTCGTCCTCGTCCTCGTCCTCGTCCTGACGGCCTCCTCTCTCTCTCCACCCCTCTTCTCCCCTCCTCCCCCATTTCAGTCCCTCGGCATCGTCTGCGGCGCGGCGATGGTGAAGGTCCCACAGATCAAGCGCATCGCCGCGAAGAAGTCCGCGCGAGGACTCCGCCTCCAGATGTTCGCGACCGAGATCCTCGCGGGCACGATCGGCATCGCGTACTGCGCGTCCAACGGCGTCGCGCTCGCGGCGTACGCGGAACTGTACTTCATCCTCGTCCAGAACCTCATCATCCTCGCGCTGATCGGCGTGTACGGCGACGGCGACGGCGACGACGCGCGACGCGACGCGCCGGCGGCCGCGGAGGCGGACGAGGACGACGAGACTACGAAGGATGAAAAGGAGGCGAGAAGACGCGAGCGTGAAGACGACCGCGCGTCGGCGAAGAGAGCGCGCGCGCCGTTCTTCTTCCTCTCTTACGTCGGCCTCCTCGCGTGCCTGCGCAACCGCGCGATCCTCCCGGAGCACCTCGCGCTCCTGTACAACTGCACGACCGCGTTGTTGTTCCTCGGCCGCGCGCCGCAGATCGCGCAGAACGCGCGGACGCGGTCCACCGGGGAGCTCTCCGTTTCGTCGCAAGTCGCGATGACGTTCGGCGGGTTCGCGCGCGTGTTGACGACGATCCAGGAGAAGGGCGGCGCGTCGATGATTGGCGCGTACGCGCTGAGTTTTGGGACGCAAGCGACGATGTTGGCGCAGATGGTGATGTACCGCGAGAAGAAGAAGAAGACGGAGTGATGTCGCGTTGGGGGAGGGAGAGGCGTACGCGGCGGCGGCGTTTGCGTTTATTTATTCACCACGCTTGAGGCGCTCGTCCGGCTGGCAGCAGCAGCAGCTCTTTATCCGCATCCGATCGATCCGCGTCGTCGTCGTCGTCACACGCCGCCCGCGCGCGCCGCACGTCGTTCCACTCCGCGCACGCGATGTCGCTCGCGTCGTCCGCCGCCGCGGCGACGAACCCGCTGCGCGCGATCCCCCGCGCGCCGCGCCGCGCCGCGCGTCGCGCCTCTCGCGCGCTGGCAGGCCGCCCCCGCGCTTTCCTCGGCGGCTTGTTCGGAGGCGACAAGAGCGACGACGCGCCCGAGCCCGCGAACGCGCAGGTGGCGTCCACGGAGGTCAAGACGCGCGTCACCGTGACGATCGCTCGACCGATGGGCATCACGCTCGAGCCGGTGACCGACGAGAGGAAGGGCGCGATCATCACGGAGCTCGTGGAGGGCGGGAACGCGGACAAGCTCGGCATGCTCGAGGTTGGCGACGTGCTCGTGTCGTGCGCGTTCCCGGGGCCCGGGAGCACCGGCGAGACCGTGGACCTGGACGACCGGTGGTACGAGACCATCTTGGACGAGCTGGGGGGCGAGCCGGACTCGGAGACGATCGCGCTGACGATCGAGCGCGTGCTGCTAGAGGACGACGCGGACCTACTCGGCGTCACCGCGGACGCGAAGCGGTATTGGGAAGAGAAGCGAGAGGCCAAGCTCAGGCGCGTGCGGTGCATCTCCTTTCGGAACGTTTCGTTTTTCACCCGCCGCTCGGTTTCAACGTTTGATCGCGTGGGTCCCTTTCAACTAACTGACCGATGAACGAACTTTTAATCGCCCCCGCCGCAGGGCGCCGAAAGTGTTGCGAAGGACGCCGGGGGTGGAGCCGGAAGACATCCGCGTGGACATCAGCAAAGGGCCGCTCGGGCAAGGGAGCTTCGGGACCGTGTTCCGAGGGACGTTCAAAGGCGACACCGCGGTCGTCCTGAAGACGGCGAACAAGAACACGATGGCCGCGGAGGAGCTCTTGGAGTGCGAGATGGAGGTGCGTTCTATGCAAACGTTTTTCACCCATCCTTCGGTTTCAACATTTGATCGCGTGGGTCCCTTTCAACTGACCGGAGAACTGTTTTCGTATGGAATGGCCCTCAGTTGAACGAGCAGGTGCACTTCAACGCGCGCGGCGCGTGCGCGCGGTACATGGGCGTCATCGAGATCTCCCCGAAGTGCGCACCCACCGTATCTCATTTATTTCTCCCGCCCGCCCGCCGCGCGTGTCTTCGTCTTGTCTTCGCGCGCCCCGACCCGACCAACGACGACCGCACGATGTGCCGCGTCATCATATCTTCGCTCACTCCGCCCGCGTCTTTCTTCTTCTTCTTCTCTTCTCCTTCCAGGGACGGCGGCGAGCTGTACAACGGGACGTTGACCGACGGCCTGTGGCTGATGTGGGCGAACGAGGGCGAGCGCACGGTCGAGGACCTCATGCGCGAGAGCACGACCGCGCTGAGCGAGAGGATGAACTGCTCGAAGTATCAGTGCTACGAGTTCCAGCCCGAGGGCGGCGACGTCGGCGAGACGGGCGTGACTCGCAAGGCGATGAAGGAGCTCCTCGGCGCCCTCGCGCGTCTTCACGCCGCGGGGATCGTTCACAGGGACGTCAAGCCCGCGAACTTGATCGTGTCCAACGTGGACGACGGCGTGTTGAAACTGATCGACCTCGGATCCGCGGCGATGTGCTTGGGCGAGACGCCGATGAACTACTACCCGGGCGACGGCCCAGCGGATCCGCGGTACTGCAAACCGGGGGAGACGCATCTCATCCCGGAGGGGTGCCCGCGTCCGACGAAGGATAACATGAAGAAGCTGTGGAACGTACACCGCCCGTACGCGTTCGACGTGTTCTGCGCGGGGACGACGATGATGCAGCTCGCGGTGGTCGGCCTCAGAAGCGACGCCGCGATCGAAAAGTTCCTCGCCGAGTTTTGCGGAAAGTGCAATTACGATTTGGTCGCGTGGAGAAAAGAGTACGGCGACGAGACCCGCGGGCTGTCGTTCGCCGCGCTGGACGTGGACGACGGCGCGGGGTGGGAGCTCGCGCAGGCGCTCATGACGCCGGAGAGGGACGCGAGGATCACCGCGGAGAAAGCGTTGGAGTGCAGGTACTTAGCCGCCGCGGTGGAGGACGCCAAGAAGGGCGCCGTGGCGCGGTGACAGCTGTGCGTTATCAATGATATCACTCGAAACAGAAAAGCCCAAAGAGATCGTCGTTCGCGCCAAAATTGTACGAGCAGACGCGAGCGCGCGCGCCCTCCTCGCCGCCCGCGCCTCCGTCGCCGCGGCATCGCGGAGGACCGTTCCCGTCGCCGCGTCGCGCGCTCTTCGCTTCCGAACCCTCGCGGGTCGTCGTCGTCGTCGTCGGGTCTCCATCCATCCAGTCGGTCGTCGACGCGATGACGCGCGAGACGACGGCCGACGTCGACGACGACGACCTCGGCGCTGCTGAGGTCCTTCGGTTCGAGCCGTGGCAGTCCGCGGTCGACCCCGGGTTCTTCGCCGAGCTCGCGCGTCGCAAGCTCGACAGCATCGGCCTGTCCGAGGCGCCGCTCCGCGTCACCGCGACGTACGCCCCGGCGCAGCACGCGCTCGTCTCCTCGCCCGCGTCCATGGCGCGCGCGTCGTTCGCGGAGGACGGAGACGACGCCGCCGCGCGCGCGGCGGACGCGCGCGCGGCCACGCGCGCGCTCATGCCCGGGACGCTCCACAACGTCAACACGTTCGAGCGGTTCAAGACGTTCGATCGCGCGCGCGTCCTCGCGGACGCGGCGGGAGCGCTCTGGTCTCAGATCGCGAGCGGCGCCGCGGAGGAGGATCCGTCGCTCCTGAACCGGTTCGCGGTGGTCGCGTTCGCGGACCTCAAGCGATGGTCGTTCTACTACTGGTTCGCGTTCCCCGCGATGAAGCTGACCGACCCGGTGAAGGTCCTGAACCCCGGCGTGAGGTCCTTGACCGCGGCGTGGGGTGAAGACGTCGCGGTGAAAGCGGCGGCGGCGTGCGACGCGTGGCTGAAAGGAGGCGGCGCGTTCGCGTGGCTTTACTCGCGCTCGACCGGCGCGTGCTACTCTCTGACCGCGTGGAAGGCGCTCACCGGTGGTAACGCCGCCAGCGCGGACGACGTCGCGCTCGCGTTCGCGGACGCGTGTTGCGCGAAAACGCACCCCGGATGGGCGTTACGTAACCTCGCGCTCCTCGCGGCGGCGCGATGGAACGTCGAGAGGCTCCGCGTCGTCGCCGCGCGGTCCCCCGCGGGTAGAATTTCCGCCGACGCGTGCCTCCACATGACCCTCGCGCTCCCCGCGATCGCCGCGGACGCGGGCGCGCTGCCGCCGGGCCCCGCGGTCGGGTGGGAGCTCAACGCGAAGGGACGCGCGGGCCCGCGGTGCGCGGATTTGGGCGCGTCGATGGATCCGACGCGTCTCGCGACGCAAGCCGTGGACTTGAACTTGAAGCTGATGCGTTGGCGGCTGCTTCCCGAGCTCGACGCGGACGCGCTCGCGAGCACGAGGTGTCTGCTTCTCGGCGCGGGGACGTTAGGGTGCGCGGTCGCGCGGTGTTTGTTAGGCTGGGGCGTGCGCGCGATCACGCTGCTCGACTCCGGGAAGGTGTCGTTCAGGCGCGTTCTACTGTACACTGGTCCCCGTACGACCCCGTCGGCGCGGTGAACGCCGATCCTTAAGGACTTTGCCCTTTGCCCGGGGTTTCTCTCCGCCCACCCCCCGCTTTCAATCCCGACACACCTCGACGCCTTTCAACTCCGCTTCTGACGCCTTTCAACTCCACCCCGACGTTCGCTCGTATGGACCCTCGACCCTCAGTAACCCCGCGCGGCAGTCGCTGTTTGAATTCGACGACTGCCTCGACGGCGGCGCGCCCAAGGCGTCCACGGCGGCGGCGCGGCTCAAGAAGATCTTCCCGGGCGTCGACGCGCGCGGCGTGAGAGCGTCGATACCGATGCCCGGGCACCACGCGTGCGACGGCGACGACGAGGAGACGAAACGCGTCTTGAAGGACGTCGACGACATCGACGCTTTGATCGAGACGCACGACGTCGTGTTTCTTCTCACCGACACGCGCGAGAGTCGGTGGCTGCCGACGCTGATGTGCGCGGCGAAGAATAAGCTGTTGATAAACGCCGCGCTTGGGTTTGACTCGTACCTCGTCATGCGGCACGGCGCGGGCGTCGGAGATGGCGACGGCGAAGCGGACGAGGAGGAGGAGGAAGAGGCGGCGGAATCGCGGGGGAAGGACGGCGACGGCGACGGCGAGACGGACGCGTCGCTGTTCAAGAGAAGACTCGGGTGCTACTTCTGCAACGACGTCATGGCCCCAGGGAACTCCACGCGCGACCGGACGTTAGACCAGCAGTGCACGGTCACGCGCCCCGGGCTCGCGCCGATCGCGGGCGCGCTCGCGGTGGAGATGATGGTGGCGCTGCGTCACGCGCCCCCGGGTCCGGATCCGGGGGGAGGCGGCGCGCCGACGGCGACCGGAATCCGACTCCCGGCGTCGACGGCGCCGCCGCCGCTGGGCGCCGACCCGCCGACGCCGCTGGGGATCGTCCCGCATCAGGTGAGAGGGCAACTCGCGGAGTACGCGCAGCGGTTGTTCGCCGCGCCGGCGTACCCGAAGTGTACCGCGTGCTCGCGCGTCGTCGTGAACGCGTACCGCGGCGGCGGGGGGGCGGGGGTGGGGGAAATGAAGACGGAGGCGGAGGCGCGTTCTATACACTGGTCCCCATACGACCGCGTTCGCGTGGTGAACGCCGATCCTTAAGGACTTTGCCCGGCGCATCTCTCCGCCCATCCCTCGCTTTCAATCCCCACCCTCGACGCCTTTCAACTCCAACTGACGCCTTTGAACTCCACCCCGACGTCGCTTTGTATGGAACGGCCCTAAAGAAGACGGAGGCGGAGAGGCGAGAGGCGCGGAACGCGTTCTTGATGTCCGCGTTTCGAGACCCGACGTTCTTGGAGGACGCGACGGGGCTGACGGAGATGCGCGCGGCGGCGGACGACGCGGAGTGGGTGGGGTCGGACTCGGACGCGGACGACTTTTAGCGAGGCGCCGCGCCGCACAGCTGTGCGTTTTATCCGAATTTTATCCGCTCTTTCTGTTCGCTTTCGTTCCTCTCGGACGAGTAACAACGTTCAGTCCGCGATGAGCGTCGCCGCGGTTCGACGCGCGCTCCTCCGCGGCGGCGGCGGCGTCGTCGCGAACGGCGGCGCGCGGTCGTTCGCGGCGTCGCCGCCGCCGCCGCCGCCGCCGCCGCCGAGATGGACGGGCGCGGACCGTCGAGGCGGGTGGGGACATCATCATCATCATCATCGTCAGCATCATCATCATCATCTTCCTCCGAGTCGTCCGCCGCCGTCGCGAGGTTCCAACGCGTCGTCGTCGCTCCTCGCGTCGTCCGCGCGACGGATCCACGCCGGCGACCCTTCATCCCCCGCGGATAGGGCGAAAGCGGTGAAGATGGCCGCCCCGCTCGGCGTCCTCGCGGGAATGTTCGGCTCCGTCGTCGGCGTCGGCGGCGGCGTCCTCATCGTGCCCGCGATCACGTCCGCGGTGAACATCCCGCAGCGGGTCGTCACCGGCACGTCCCTCATCGCGGTGCTCTCCACGGCCGCGGTGTCGACGTACAACTTCTCCGCGAGCGGTTGCGTGAGCGTCGAGGCGGCGGCGATCGTGGGCGGCGCCGCGATGCTGTCCGCGCCCGTCGGCGCGAAGCTCACGAGTCGGATGGATTGCAACGCGCTGAGGAAGCTGCTCGCGTGTTTTCTGCTGGGGGCCGCGCCGCTGGTGCCGCTGAAGGCGTGGATCATGGCGGGGAGGGACGCGGCGGCAGTGGGGGGAGAGGGCGAGGAGGATCAGGGCGATGACGTGGCGACGAGCGATTCGTCGTCGACATCGACGCGCGCACCGCATTGGACGGACGGGGACGGGGACGCGAACGAATCGAAATCGAAATCGAAATCCAACGCGGCGGCGGCGGCGGCGGCGGCGGCGGCGTCCTTCGACGCGCGCGCCGCCGCGCCGCAGCTCGCCGCCATCGGCCTCGCCGCCGGCCTCGCCTCCGGGCTCCTCGGCATCGGCGGCGGGACGATCGTCACCCCCGCGCTCGCGCTCGCGTCCCCTCTGCCCCAGGCCGCGGTGCTGGGCACGTCGCTGCTGGCGATGCTGCCGCCGTCGGCTGCGGCGCTCGTCGCGCACCGACGGTTGGGAAACGTCGACGCGAGGATGGGCGCGGCGTTGGCGGTGGGGACCGCGCTCGGGAGCGCGCTCGGGAGCTCGGTCGCGGTGGATGCGCCCAGGGGCGCGCTGGAGCTGATGTTCATGGGGGGGATGCTGTTCT